GCAGTAGACTCCATCTCCACATATTATTCATTATATGAGAACTAAAAGAATCACCATGTGTGTTTTTTTATTTTTTGTTTTTGTTTTTTCAACTACAAATAACTTTTCCCCTCCTCTGTGTATGCTGTCTGGGCTTGGCTCGACTCACGAGGGGCATGCCTTGAACTTTTCATACTCTTTTTCAAGCTCTAAAAGAACACTGTCCTTCTTGGCACAAGACTGGACCCTGGCTGGTGAATCAGACACGTCACACCCCTGCCTGTACCCTCTGAGGCCAAGGCTCAGCTGTCACATCGGGGTCAGTCTCCACAATTACTGTGGTTGTGATCAAACCGTTACTATGTTTATGGCAGGCTCACCTTGCTCTCCAAATTGAGACTTAAGGATTATCTACCTCATGCCATCCTGTCTTATCTATTTTTGACAAAATGTGTGGGTAGAATTGTAGGTTTTGTTTACAGTAGGCATCTAAAATTAGTCTTTTAGAATTATACTTGTGTTGATTACTAAAGCACATCTCTTTTAATGGGTTATTTTAAAATAAGCTGTAACTCTGGAAGGACAGGGAGGAAAGGGCTATGATCTGTATCAAACTGAGGAAAACAAGGGCACACCTTTGACTCCTTAATGCTTTCTTTTAAAAGGAAGGAAACTTTGCAGTGTGTAATTCTAAGAAAATTGTAAGAAATAAAAAAGTAGAGCAAAGCCCTTTGTGTGAGAGGGGAGTGAAGTCTGACTTAATCATAAATACTGAGGTTGAAATGTTGTTTTATACTAATCTTGTGCATTCTGAAAAGGCATAAAATAGTAAAATCGGTTTCTTTCTTTAGCCAATGGTTCTATTATAATTCAGGAGATGTTTTTAAAAGTTCAGATTAACACCATTTTCTAACTGTAAAGTATGTACACCTTATATATGGAATACAAATATTTCAACAGGTCCTGTTACTTCTCGGCCTGATGTTAGCTTTTTATTTAAGTGTAAAGGATCTTAACATTTCTGTGGATTAACTTTTACTGGATGAGATTCGTATTAGTAACAAATGTAAAGCCATGGATCTACTAAGCGAATAAAGTGCTCAGGTTCAAGTGTGTGTGGTTCTCACGTTACAAGTAAATTTGTAAACCTGAATTATGAGGAATGTTAGCATTTACCACTCAGAATAATCACACATTAGCCCGAGTTATAATTCTCACCACTCTGTATACATTGAATCAGTTGTGCATGAACATAGGAAAAATGCAACATTTAAAAAAAATGCTTCTTTTGCTTTTAAAAGTGCACCAGCATTTTTACAAATCCTCTTTAATATGAAGTTCAGATAAACTTAAGTAAAGGTTAATTTATACCTTGTGCAGTCAGGCAGTTTAAAATGTGCTACGGAGATCCACATGAATAATAAGATATAAAGCGTGATTTTGTTGTCTCTGAACTTTGGAATTTTAGCCAGACCTCTTGCATCACGTACAAGTAAACCACAGAAGGAGATGCAAAAGTGAAACCAGTCCCGTGGTGCTGTCAGATGGGACCTTCACTCGGCAGATGAGGTGCTTGTTTGGCTCGTCTCTCTCCTCTTCAAATGTTCTCCCCCCACCCCACCCCACCCCACCCACCAGAAACATGGTGAAATGGTGTTAGAACTGTCCCCGCACACTCCTACTCTGGGAGTTCATGGAGAGGACACAAGCCTGAGGACCTGCAGCAGGCTAGCCACCTCCCGGCTCCCTGCCACCCAGAATGCCACCTCCCAGGCCCTCTCCTAGAACCCTGCTGCCTGCACTGCTCCTTACTAGTGGGGTTTCTCTTTCTACCCGTATATCTGGGCTCTCCTATTCTTGTCCGCAGGGACTCAGCTCAACCCCCCTTACTCGGTCTGGACTGCCTCCCTCATAGACAGAGCTGCTAGAAATTGCTATGTGGTTGTATTTACTGCTCACTTATCTGCGTCCCATGACAGTATAAATCTTGTTTTTAAATAAAGCCCTCAGAGTCAGGCAGAACTTTTAGGGTTATTTAGTTCCATATTTGATTTACTTCTTTATTAGTTATCTAATTATACTACATATAGCTAATTAAATATCTAACTCCATGTATCACTTTATAGACTAAAAGACTTTCCGATGTAAGCAAGTAGGAAAAACATTTAAGCTGCTGGTTTAAAGGCTGTCAGCATAATCCTTCATATCCAGGAATCAGCTTTTTAAAATGGGATCACATTTAAGGAAGTTTTTTTGTATTCTCTTCAATAAATAGGTAGATAAAGGAAAAATCCTCTTTATCATATATGGTATATTTTGGTAATGTATGGATAAGTGTCTTGACTGAATGTCATGTATATGCTGATAGTACGTGTATTAAAAGATTTTAAAATATAAACTCCCACATCTCTAAATTCCAAGAAAAAAATGCTGTGCCTAAATACAGTTATGGAACTTGTCCCATGACCTTCCAGAGGGTTTAGATGTAAAAAGTTCCATGGCTTTTTTTGCATTTATAATTGTAAATGGCCTTTTTTTCCTACCTCAGTTCTCTATGCTCTTTGTTAGTAAGTAGGCAGATGTTTTTGCCTTTTTTAAAAAGTGTGATAATAGGCACATCTACTGCCCTTACTTCATGAGCTAGAAAAAAAAAATCCATGGAGCATCCTGGTGAAAGGTGATTCACCTGAGTTCTATTCCCACATTGGCAACATGGCAGCCTTGCATGTTGCCAGAGGTGCTTCCCACAAATTAAATCAAAAAAGTCTGTCTCATTTAGATACAAACTTAGGGTTTCACCTGTCAGAGGAAAATGAAACCATCCCTAACAGCTTTTTATTTCGTTGGCAGGTTCATGCCTACGATAAAGTGATTTTTCCTCAGGTGAATTACTCCCTCACGTCGCTGTGGCAGTGACTATTTAAGAAAGCTATTTATGAAAACTCTTTAAATGTGTGGTCCCTATTCCCACAGTGTGTCACTGCCGCCGCCAAGTGACAGGTTTGGAAAACCAGCAAATCCTTAACAATTAAAGCATCAATTCCTCTTTCCAAAACCCGGCTGCGTCCTAGACAAAGATGTTGCCTTCTTCTGTGAGGCGAAGACTCCCTGAATCACTCTGAACCCATGTGGATATCTGGCTTCTGCAGAAAAATTTGCATGAGTGATTAAGACAATACATTTTTTTTCTCTGAGCAAATATATCTAATTTCAGGGTTCAGGGAGTTTTTTTTTTTTAATGTGTTCATTTAGTTTTCTAGAATATCACACAAAAACTATACCATACTACGGGAAAGAAATTTTCTGTCCTAAAAATTCACCAGTCAACCAAAAACTTGTAACTCCGGGAACACACAAGTATGTTGGGGACGTATGCAAAGACTGTTCTCTTTAGCAACCTCATTCTTGAACGGGGCTAAGAGCTTTTCAATTGCTGTGACATTTTCAGCCAGGGAAGTAGTAGTTGTTGCAGAGCAATGTTTTACAGGCAATTACTTTATATGATCAATGGAGCAATTCCCCTTCCAGAAAGGAACCAAAGCAATCAAGTTAAATCATTAAAGAGAGAAAGAGAGAGTGGGAGAAAGGGTTCATCTCATTAGCAGGTGCCAGTGCTGCAGGCGCGTTGGTGGCACACAATGTCACTGGCCCTTTAAGACAATGACTGCACTCCCTCCGCCATCACCACCCCCTCCCCATAGCTGTTGACAGGTCTAAACCTCCCTAGCAGCCCATTGTGGCCACAGTAGGAGGCACCTGCAGAAAATGTGCCAAAACCAAGCGGGGAGCAAGAGCTTTTCAATAAGCTCCGCAGCTGGAGAGGAAAGGCAACACTAAACAACCAGGCTGGGCCCAGGCATGTGACAGGGAAAGGGGTCAGAACCAGACACCTCCTATCGGCTTTCTGAGCACTGTTCGGTTCAATTTGCTGACATCTTCTAGCTGGCTTTTCTCTATTTGCTTAATATGCTGAGGTATTTAGCTTAAAAGCACTAAATGCTCCATCACGATGAGCAGTTTTCCCTGTTGCCTTTTACTGTTATTAAGGACATCTCCCAGTATTTTCACTCTCTTTCTGCCCCAAACTAAGATTGCTTTCTTTTGCTTCTCTCCTGAGGAAGTTGCAGGCATTCTTCACCACTGGCCTCCTGCTTGATTTCACTCATCTTGAATTAGGGACAAGTAAAGCTCTCCCAGTTTCGGGATCTGCACTGCCTCTGTAACACAGGCACATTCTGATTGCTCTAAGCACACATCTGGAAGCTGACTTCTTGAATTGCAGCTCAGTAAACATTTATTGTGCATCTACTGTGTACCCACTGCTGCTCACAGCTCACAGGGCTTCCAGAAATCCAGAGATGGCTAAGAGGGGCTTCCCCCTTTGCACTATTCAGGATCCAGGGAGTGACTAAATAGCTAACATAATTGTGGAGTTTAGGAATTTGCTTTGCACCCATGCTCTTGCTTTTTGTAATATTTACAGCCCTTTGAGAATAAACAGGAGCAGAGGGGGAGAATAGGGAGAGACCATGTGCTGTTGGTATAGTGGCCTTGGCCGAGCATGCCTTGGGAAACAAGAGGGCAAATTCTCAATGTCATCTCTCCAAGATAAAAGAGAGAGGGAACCTGGTCTGATTCTTCAATTTGGGCAGCTCTTATCTGTCCATGACTCCTTACATTTACACAACACTTTCCAGTTTTCATGATATTTCTACCTATTTTTTTCTCACTTGAACATAGACATAGTGAGGCATTATCTCTGTCTTGCAGATAAAAACATCTGAGACTCAGGGCTAAGCACCTTGCCCAAGGCCACACAACAAGTAGGTGGTAAGTGCAAAAGCCTGCCAGGGACCTGGCTCCCCGGTGCCCACCTAATCCTTGGCTCCCTCTCTGCCCCACTATGCCTCTTCAGTCAACCTGCACGAGTGTGCACAAGAGCGTGCGACTCGAGAACTTAAGCAGTGCACAAACAGACAAAGCCACATTTTCACAGTCGAACTCTTTTCCCCCTCCTACAGATGGAGAGTGTTGGCGTGTACGGATTCTGTGGGTGTAAAGCAAAGAACAAAATGAAGCGTGATTCAAAGTGGGAAATAAGCGCTTCAGGTAGGAAATGGACTAATGTGTGTAAGTATCAAACTGGCGTCTGAAATAATTACCCCTGGAAACTTCATTCCTTTGAAGAGGGACTAGGTACATTTAAAACTGGGATGTTTAAACTTCCCCACACATAAGATATTTGCCAGATTGCTGCTGTGGAACAAGCAACGTCTGCTTGTCCAGAAAGCCAACAAGTGGTAAGGGGCTTGGGAGAAAGAGTATTTCTGACAGGGCACCATCAAGTCAATTTCCCACCTACCCAAACCCTGGGATTGTCGCTGGCCAGACTCACAAGTGCAGACCGTGGAGCGGGACCTAGCGTCCATCGGTCTGCCAGTTCACGCTGTCTCCCTGCTCTGCTCTGGTGGCCCTGGGAGATTGTCTCTGTTGAGACTCATACAAAGGCAGGAAGAGATGGTCTCTGGCTCTTCTGAGCATGTTTTTGCTTTACCATGTCTCTCCTCTCAGAGGACTGGTCTTCCTCAGTGCCTCCCTCCAATTCTGGAGAAAACAAGCGGACTATTCATGTAAAAAGAGAAAGAGTGAGAAAGGGAGGGGGTGATGCCACCGACAAACTCCATTGAAAGCCACTGGCTGTTCATTTACATTCACACTTTTAAAAAATGTTAACTAATGATGTTAAATGGTTTGCCAAAGGTCCTGGCAGGTCAGTTGTAGAAGTGTCATTTCTGCCTAATTAGGGCTCTTGTGGCTGCCCGGGGCCTCCCAGTGCAACCGGTGACAAGCCTAGAGCTGACAGCTTCAATTGGTGCCAATAGGAAGGTTGGGCTGGTCACGGTTTCCAACTCAGCCAGGTGTTTGCTGAATGGGGGAGGGGCTTGGCAAGATCTGAGCCCTTCTGTGATCCTTTTTCTTTCTGTGCTCCCTCCAAGTCTTTCCCCTTTGCCTGTCCTGTCTTGTGTCAAGGTCAAGAATGAGCTTTGCTAAATCAGCAATTTGGGTTATCTCTGGGAGGTCATTAGCAATCCCCAGCCTAGACATTTCAAGTGGTCTTGGACCTCAGATGCTAGCTTTTTTCTCTCTCTCTAAAAATCAGAGAGTAAGACAGGAAAGGGAAGGGAATGCTTTCAGTGTAAAACAATAGTAGAAAGAAAACAAAAACAAGCCCAGAAAACTGCATAGCCATCAAAGCGTTAAACCTCTGAAGACGTTCATAATAATAAAATTGTTTAAAGAGAAAACAGCTAAAGCAACCCGATCAACAAACACTTTAAATATTTTAAAGAAGAAAAATGATATGAAAATAAATCCTATAATGTTTCATGGGATGCACATAGTACGTATAGTAGGTATTCAATAAGCAATTTATTGTTTGATTTTTTTTTAGGAAGAAAATTATTGTCTAAGAGATAAAGAGTGATTGATAGAGACCTTGCTACTTTTCATGGTTGTTTTAAGTATTCTATAATGCTGTATTTGAATTTCTCAGTTGTCCGTAAAGTATATGCCAAGCTGAAGTCCCGCATTATGGGTTGGTATGATTTTTTTTGGTTTTGGTAAGTAAGATACCACTAGTGCTTAGCACCTCCAGGCTGCAGCAACTGCCATACAAGGAGACTGTCCCAAGGCAATGATAGGACAGCTGTGAATAGAATTTGGGTTTGAGCAACTGGCAGATCCTGCAGGGATAACGATATTCCTGAGTTGTACCTGACTTGAACATCACACACACACACACACACACACACACACACAAATGCACACACAAAGACAGAGCATGTTAACAAGTCTGGGCATTTGGGGCAATGTTGGTTAGACTAAAGGGACAAAGTGATCTGGAAAAAGCAAGATCTGTTTTATGAAACAGTCCAGATCCAGAGGTTGTAGTGCTGGAAACGAGAGGGTGTCTAAAATGAAACTTTGGTGTTTCAGCTTCTTTTCCTCGTCTAATGCCCTCTTTCCCTCCTGCTGCCTCTGTTTTCTCTAATATGGGACAGAGAAAACTGGGGCCAAAAATAGATCATTCGTGCTTGTTGATTGTATCAAAGGAGCGTTATGAAGGTTAAATGAGACAGCAGATATAAGCTCTCCTAGGACAATACCCGGCACAAATCAGGTGCTTACCAGCTCAGTTCTCTCCCTGCTGTCGTGAGTCCTTCCTGGGTAGAGACCATGTGCTTTCTGTGGTATCAAGTTATTTTCCAGTCTGGTCACAGGTAAGCTACTGAGTGAAGGTGGAGACTGATTCAGCTCTTTATCTTCAGTGCCTGGCCTGGAAGGGACCAGAACAAATTTGAACAAACAGAATTAATAGAACTGATTGATAAGCTGACCTCATGAATGATGACTGAACAAATTGATCTAGATATATTCAAACTGTTTAGTGGGCTTTCTAACCCCCCCATCTCTTCTGTCACTAACTTCCCTTAAAAGACCTACTTTGCATTTTCATCTAATCTGATTTTTGCCTGTCCCTTTCAGACTCCATCATAAGTTCTTTTTCCTTTTCCTTGGTGTGACCTTCTTTGTTTTTCTTGCTGCCCCTGTTGGCTGTTGTTTACTCACATGGCTTTTATTCTGGGGTCTCCTTTCTCGTCTTGTTCCCGCACTGCCTCCCCACCCACCTGGATCCTGACCCCCAAAGCTACAGTTGCTGCCTGTGCCCTTGGAGGGCCAGCAATTGTCACACAGCTCTTCTGAGTGCTAAAAAGTGGCCACTTAGGAGTCTCTTTGTGGTGAGGTATATGAGTATTTAAAAATCATTCGAGAAGAGATTAGCAGTAAAGAAAACCTTCCTCAGCAACTCCATCAGCATGGAAAAAGCAGACAATTCATTACTAAAACTAAAACTAAAACCTTTTGAAGACTTATGAACAGAGGACAGAACATGTGAGCTTCAAGTCCTGTGTTTTGTGGCTTTAATACACTCCACTGGTATTTGTGATAACTGATGATAACTGATTGGTACCATGGTGACCCTAGAAAGGTGAAAATATGTTTATATTACCTAAGCCTTCTAAAAGGCAAGTCTGACTTGGTTATTCCTTTGCTTAGGGCTTCTTGGTGGCCCTTCCAGATCTGGCTCCAACTTCTCTCTGACCTTGAACCTTTACTCTGGTCATGCTGATCTGCTAGCAGTTCTCTGGACATGGGGGCGTGTTTCATGCCTTGAGGCCTTTGAACGAACTCATACCCTAGGATGCCCACCTTTTCTCCCATTGTTCTCCCAATAAGCACCTGTTATTAGGATGGATTCTCAACTCCATACCACCTTCTCTGCAAAGCTTCTTCTGAGCCTTCCCAAGTTGGATTGACCTTTTTTCTCTTTTGTGACCTACTGTAGAACCTTATGTTCTTCTTAATAATAATAATTTTTTTTTTTTTAACATGGATCGCTTTTAGAATGCTTGAGTCATGGCTGTGAGCATTCCCATCATCCGGATGGTGTTCATTGTACCCGTTAGGTAGGTTTTTTTCCTTCCTGTTTGTTTTCTGCTAAAGTTTACATTCCCCTATGCACACGTGTGCTAATTGGTTAGTTCCAGTTTAATAGTATGGATAGTGTTTGTTTCTCCAGTCTTGCAATACTTCGCTTAGGGTAATATAATGGTAATAACCTTTTATCAATATGCCTTCTTGGTGCCAATAAGTGTAAGTGTTTTCAATTGTTGCATCATTTAAGCCTTGCTACCCTATGAAGAAGGTACTGCATAGATACAGTCCTGAGTCACTTAATGATGGGGATACTTTCTTTTTTTTTTAATTTTATTTTTTATTTTTACATATACATGTGATTATTAGGTTTCCACTTTTTGCCTTCACAGAATTAAAAAGGCTTAAAAAAGGGATATTTTCTGAGAAATGCATCATTAGGAGATTTTGGCTTTGTGTGAACATCATAGAGTGAACTTAGACAAATCTAGATGGCACAGCCTCCTATACAACTAGGTACTATGGCCTGTTGCTGCCAGGTTGCAAACCTGTGCAGCAGGTGACTGCCTTGAGTACTGGTGCACTTGTAACTCAACGGTGAGTGTCTGCGTTTCTCAACATTTCTAAACATAGAAAAGGTACAGTAAAAATACGGTATTAAAATCGTAAAGTACCACCATTGTGTATGTGGTCCATCATTGACCAAAACATTGTACAGCACATGACTGTATTTTGCCAGTGGAGACCCTGCAACTTGAGTCACATGTTTGATGTCACAGAGCTACAAAGTGGTGGAGATGGGACCAGGGCCCAGCCAGCATGGCTCAAGCATGCACATTTGACCACACTCTAGAACCACCAGAACAGGCTGTCATTCGTTATCATTAGCCACCATGCTGACAGAGAGGGCATTTCAGTCTTCAGTTCATCATTCTCCAGACGAGGAGCTCTGGGCGGGTGGTGGTGCCTACTGTGAGGATAGCACATGCTGAGACTAAATGTGCATGAATTTAATAAAATGGCATTGAATTGTACTGTACTATATATTTATGTGTGTGTATATCTATATATACATTTTTTCTCTCCCTGCTTCTCCTGTTCTTTTTATATATGCATATATAAACACATATTTCATATATACATATACATGCACATATTTGCATATTCATATGCACATATACAGATACATACATATGTAGTCATATGCACATAAATTAACATAATGTATATAGATATATACATAAATTAACATATATTATCTATATCTAGAAAGAAAGCAAGCCAGGCAGGCAGAGAATCACTTGCAGTCTGATGGAATAGACGTGTATTACCTGGAGTCTTTGAATTCTGTGTTAAATTTAGTTTCCTTGCAGAATAGGTGAGACACCACCCACCCTGGCCTGCATGTTCCTAAAGACAGACCTCTAAGCTCTCAAAGTACTGCCATGGTGTGTCACGGTAGAGGAGGAGGAGGAGGCCTGGGTAGAATAGTATTCTTGAATTTTTCCCCCTTACATCATCTCAGGTATAGAGATGACATGTCCTCCTCTGTTCAAGCCATTATTCCTCACCACTCAGTCCCTTGAGCCTGAACTTGTTAATGGTGATGACAT